TTTCCAACATTATAGAAAAGATAAGGATAAGAAAATGTATCCACTTTTATTTGTTAATAAGCAATGGTATTATATTGTTAGAAGACTAATATGGCAAAGAATAACTCTAACGGCTATCTCCGGAATCAAGTTTACTAAGGCATTGAGTAGGAATACGAAGCCAGTCATATGTGAACAAGTACAAGGTCTTAAATTTATTGGAGAAATAAAAATAGAGCCAGATGTCTACATTTCCGAAGTGTGTAAGGCATGCCCAAATTTACAATGGCTAAGTTTTGAAAAATGTGGGTCCCGTATACTTAACAATAAAATTCTAGAAGCTCTTCTAGTCGAGTGTTCCAATTTAAAAAGACTCACGATAAGAGGTTCTAGTCGCATAAGCCCGAAAGCATTTACAAAAATTCCAAAACTGTCTCCTAGATTGGAAACGATAGAAATTAGGGGATGTTTACGGATTGGAAAGAATACAATATCTGATTTCCAAAACTCATACCCAAAAATAAAACTCATATTTGAAGATCTTTGATCGAAGGGGGATTGCCATATTTGTTTCAGGGGCTTTCATGTTTTGCGACGATCGTAGCCTTAACTGGAGTTATAGTAGTCTTTTTTTTGTGACAGCTTTTCATTATTGGTCCTGATTTATTCATGATCTGATCCCTTTGGGACCTCTTCATTCCGTGATGCTCATTTCCGAGATGTCCATTTTCGAGATGCTCATTTCCAAAACGTTCATTTCTGAGATAAATTTTCTCGGGGTAAGGCTAATTTCGTTTTAGTCTTGTTATAAGAAAAAATATTTATAGGGAGAAAAGGGCGAGAAATCTTCTTTATGATTTAACAGTATGACTAGCGAACTACCAGCAAGTCCTTCAGAAATTCATGTGGATAATACAGAGGTTTTTCAACTTAAAGCACTTTCGTTAAATTTCCTAAGAAACACTTCTGAAATAACTGACGAACATATTCCGAAACTTAATCCTTGCCACTTCTGTGATAAAGAAATTCTTGCCTTACCCTTACCACTTCATTCATTCACAGTATTATCATGTGGACATATATACCATCGAATATGTCTTGAAAAACATATTGTACGATTAAAAACACGTTTTCCTTTATGCCCTATTTCTAGTTGTATATCACCTATCGAACTTATTAGGGAGGAACTTTCACTAGCTTCTGGTGAGTATCACATGGTGTCTAAGAATAAGGATTTCAGAAAAAAAGACCCCTTAAGTGATGATACTATAGAAGACGAAGATTCTCTTGTGGGTCAGGGGGGAAAGAGAACCGAAGTTACTACGTATGATCAAGCGACAAGTCTAATTGCGTATGTGGAAGAGATACCAGAGCTATCAGATATCATCGATGATGCTGAAAATGATGATAATGGGAATAACAATCATAGTTCTCAAATAAGGTAGGTAATGCAGTGAAAAATGGAATATGTAGTAATCACACTCACCTTTCATTCTATTCATTCCCTGAAATCTATGATTGAAGGATGGATAATTCGACTAATCAAACAACTGAAGATGACATTGCTAATACACAAATCCGATCATCAAGAGAAACATCTCCAAGAATCAATCGTGAACAGGAAAGATTTCGAGGATTGTTACATAAATTATCTACACCTATTAAGGGGGAGACTACTGAAACCAATAATGAGGATGAGGGTTCTGGGGGTTCGATCTCGCAGAATTTAGCTCGATTATTCCAAAAAGCAATTAAGGCTGAAAAGCGTGTAACTCAAGCTTATCAAGAGGAAATTCACTGTTGGTACTACTATGCTGAACGATTTG